CCCACCCTGTAACAGTGGTATAATAGGAATATAAGAGGACTCTAGTATGATCCTTAGTATCTCTATTCTGGGTCAGGGGTCCACCTAAGCTATGCCCTAAATCATACCAGGGACCCTGGTATGCGATATGCGATAGGGTCTATCCCCCAAGTGCCTGAATTGAGGGATCATGCAATTTATCCCAATATCTTTAACGGTATATGCCTTCATTACGTGGGCCTAGTGTCTGACCAACCTAGCCTGAGATTTGGGGCTCGAAGTGTTTGAAATGCATCCCGTGATTTGGGTGTCATTCCTTCATGGGCTCCCCTACTACGTTTCCTATACTATCCCCCGCACGATAGGCTCCCCCTTATTTGACGATTGAAGACAAATTCAGGAAAAACCTGAAGGGGCTCATGTGGCTCGGTGGGGTAGTATCGGAACCCATGAAGGAATGGGCCAAGATAAGGGGCTCCCCGCACACATTTTTTAGGATTGCATGGTATTGATGTCACCCCAAAACCCTTTTGGTCATGATGCTGAACCCAAGGGCACCATCATCATCCCGCCTCCACAGAACTACATTACCAGCGCCCGAATAATCTTACAACATCAATGACCCAAGATAAGTACCGAAATTATGATGAACGGGCGGTAGGCAAGGCGTACAAACGAAGAGATATGACTGCACTCTAGGAATACTCCTCATATGTACCACCTACACGGAGATCATCAAAGGGAAACTGCTAGAACAACTGGGGGGAAATATCTTCCCCAAGTGTTTTACACACCACCTACACGGTAGCTACCAAAGGGAAAGTGATGCTCGGCGTCGGCTGCGAGGCTTCTGGAGGCTGCAGTTGCAGGGACAAGGGGGCGAAGGCCTGGCGAATCAAAGGGACTTAGGCTTCTTTACCCCCACCCAGCAAGAGTCCTAAATCCTAAACCCACATCCTAAACCCTAACCCTAATCGTCGCTCTACAGACGGCTGTTCTTGGGCAGTAACCGTTTCCAAGGGCATCTCGGTGACAGTACCATGAACTGATACTTAGGGTTTAGGGTTTAGGAATATTACCCCCGATGCTGAAGAAACAAACGGAAACAAACTAGAAATGAAAAGACTACAGGGATTACGCTACGTGCTCCCCTACCCCGGATAAGAACATCCCCGCGCCCTGAAGATCAACACCAGCCCCATATTGCACCTAAACCCTAAACCCTATGTATCTAGAAGAAATATGTATGACTAGGGGAGTGGTGGGCCATTATCGACATTACGACTGCCTGGAAAGGCAAACACATCCATTACGGACAACTATAGACAGCAGCATAATGAACCTGTATCAGCAGGCAGGTACCATGGGCATCAAGTGAACTTTTAGCATGGGATTCTAAAGTCCTACGCCCTGGAAGCAGAGGACAGTCTTGGCGAGTATACAGGAACGACTACAGGGGGCCGCTCCCGCATTCCCTACCAACCTTTAAGGACTTTAGGAGGGACCCCTAATAGGGACCCTTGTAGCTTATGGGGGTTAGTATGGGGACTACCTAAGGATATAGGGGTTATATATAGACTATATAAGGGTTATATATGGTAATGGGATTAAGGGTCCCCATTAGGGGTACCTCCTAAAGTCCCTAGACAACCACAAGTAAGTAACTGTCGTCAAAGCTTTGAAGGCCTCTAAGAACGCCTGGGCGTAGCGCGAGGAGCTCGGATGCCGGCTCCGCGTTGGAGCCTCATAGGCCAACAAAGGGCATCTGGGGGCTTCCGAACATTAAAGGTACAGAAGGCAACACTGGGGGTCCCCGCAATAAGGATTCATAATCATATTTTTGGGTCTATCTTGGGGCCCGCCGTATTTATGGGCTTTACCATTTGCCTTCGCGCAAAAAAACCTTCTAAAAACATCCATGGAGAGCTCAACAAGCCCAAGTACCGATTCATCACAGGCCTTCCATGCCCCTTCCCTCCCACCCTGAAGTTCGGATTTGATCCTGAGGATCAGCAGAAGACGCAATGTGACACTGAATCCGCTGAGGGGTTTGGGATTTATGGCTTAGGGTTTAAGATTTAGGGTTTGGGGTAAGCCTAGGAGCGCCCAGCAAGTCCAGGAAGCGCATTGCTGCCTCTTTGCGCGCTCCCTCCTGAGCTGATGTTGAATCAATACAAACCCTGGGGATCCAAATAGCTGAATGTAGGCAGCAACTAAAAGGTACTGTTCGTGTGAGACACGAATTAGATTGTGCAATCTACCTGAGAGCGGATGTCAAGGTAAAACAGTATCGGGCTTCTACTTCTACAGTGCTCTCTAGCAAACTTCTCGCAAAGATTTGCATCCAACAACAGCCTTCACCCAAGACCCTACAATCGCGATAGTCTGAGCCAGACGCCGTTTCGAAAAAGTTCTCCTGGTCTACCCCCTCCTCCAAAACCCGCATCCAAAAAAAGGGCTCAGGACACAAACTGCCTAAAGCTAAGTCCCCAAATACCTCTGCCCTGGGGATCCAAGCAGCACAAAGTGGGTAATACAAATTCCAGGTTTGGGGGCCTAAAGTACGCAACATCCGCAGATCATGCCAAAATAACCTCAATTTAGGGGTGGGGTAGTAGGGGCAACCCATGAACAGACTTGGATTCCCAGGGCTACGGTATCTCCAAGTCCAGCCAAGGCGCAGTGCGGAAAGGGATCAATACTGGCTCGAGCTCCTCAACATGCCCCTAAAAACCTTTCAATCTGCCGGTGGAGTTCTTGAACTACTCAGCTGAAGGGGTCAGGGTTCGGGCGGCCAAAGAACAAGCATTGGGGTCGGTGTTCTGCCCCACCTAAACGAGGGAAAGTTGAATTAGTCAACAAAGAAACCCTTTTTGAATACCTACAGAAGAATCTCTATAGAATCCCCATGTACACCCTATATAATTTCTATATTATCCCTCTCAAACCCTAAACCCTAAGCCCTGGCCCTACTCCACGGCTTGGTTAGCTAGTTCGATCTTATATAAAGTATGTCCCTACATTGAGGGACACAGACAGAAGGCAGTATGTTATATCCTTTGGGTAAGCCCATGGGAACTCCATAGTAACCCAGCAGGTTCCCTACCCCGTCAGTAAGTTCAAATTCTCGCGAAGTAAAGCCTGAACCCCCTGTAACTACTTCGGTTCTGGGTTCGGTTCACAAGGCCCAGTATCCGCTTCCTGTTCCTCTCTCTTCTCCATTTGATTTCTCCTCGTTGAGGTCATCTGCCCAATCCCGTAGGCCCTAAACAGTAGGTTCCACTTTCTTCTCATTCTTCCCATGTCAACCTTTATAGCCCTAATTTCAGGGACCCAGAAAGCAAACCTCAACCCTACACCCTAGATATCCCTTTACACCCTTATTTGGGTAATATCCCCCTAAACCCCATATACCCCCTATACATCCCGAAAATAACCCCAGGGTCCCACACCCTAAGCCCTAAAGGCTCGTCCTCGAACATCATCTCTGGCTCTGGCAAGCCCGTGGTGCTGAGCCCTGGACTTCGAACTTTTGCTGCGAGGCTTTCGTAAATATGCTGATGCACATGCAGGTACGCCTGTACGTGCACGCACACACAGATATATATATACATATATGTATGTATGTATTCAGGATATACGCATGGTCATTAATAAGCATTCATAAGCATTGATAGGCGGAGTAATATTACATTAATGCTCGCATTTTCATATTCTTCGCAGGATAAAAATTGTGTGAGGTGGCTTATGGCTGGCAACACAAAACTTCGCTGTTTGATTGTAATCATCGCGCTGAAGACTGTGTGCGGCCAAGATGCCCATGAAGCGTTGGAGTTCCTTGGCAAACACACGGGGAATACACCAATAAGGTCCCATTACGGTAGCCCGCATGGTCATTAACGACGACCATCTTGGAATGAAACTTCAGCTTCCCCTCAGCTGGCGATGGTTGGAAATATGTTTGTTGTGGTGCTATGGAGGCATGGAGGGAAAACACGAGGACCGCTCAGAACGCGCAACCCGAACCTTAAACCCCAAACCCTATATAACCCCATTATAGTAGTTTCCATCTTCTTATCCATTATCCCTATAAAACCTAAATCAACCTTTGTTATGCCAATATTGCCATTTTTCGTGCAAAGCCCAAAGGCTGCGATGGTGCCGCCATGTGCCGCCCAAACACTGGCCCCGCGGCAGAAGATGAAACACCGGATGCTAATTTGGAATCAGCCCTAGGACTCCTGTTGGAGTTAAGTTTAGGGTTTAGGGTTTTAAGGTTTAAGATGTAGGGTTGTAGGCTTTAGGGATGCTCATCCTACATGGCCATTGTATGCTAGGCCCCCGCCGACTAGTAGTGACCACTAGGGGAGAATGGTACATGCATCAAAGCTGGGGACCCCAATATAAGCCTCAAAATGCTAGAGCCCCAAGTGTAGGCGGCCCGACTCTGAATTGTTGGAAACCCCCAGAATGGTAATTGCACTAGGGCCGCCAGGGACGCGTTCTATTCCCCTTTGTCCATTGTGGCTGGGGGGCATAGCCTCATGCACGCCTTCTACAGCATTCGGGCTTCTACAATGTAGAGGATTAGATATGACTAGGGCTTCGGGGAATATTACAGTAGGATTGTAGCAAAAGTATATGGGTAGTGACTAGGACGTCTGCATTTAAAATCTCACCTACCGTCGTGGTCACAGGAGCCCTAGAAAACGGCCAGTGATCAGCGCGTCTGTTTCGACGCTGGGGTTTCTCAAAGACGCTAAGTCCTAGACCCTATATAGGAAGTGTAGGGAGACTGCATGACTCAGGCCCGTGGAGAAACCTCCGAGAAAAGACAAACCCCCAAACCCAATCTGCTTCGATTGGGCTATCACACAGCCCAGCGCCCTAGGCAAATGATGACAGTTGTTGCTGAACCGCGGTCTCACCTAGCTTCTGCTTTAGCCTCAGAAGCGTATGTCCTTAACCCACCTTTATGATCACACAGCTTAGGGCACTGGGTTCCACCCCTAGACTCGGCATCAGAACTCCTCGTTCAACGAGAAAGCGTTCAGTGAGTTTGTGGTGCCAGCCATCACACCGGCCTGTCCATCGAGGGATATGTGGTGACACATGAATGTATCATATTCCGAGAACAAGATGGACACACGGACACGAGATGCACATAGGCATAAGTGTATACATATATATATATACATATGTGTGCGTATGTATATATATATAAATTATATAAACGTGCATAAACTTATCCGCTTCCCCCTAATATTCAACCCCCAACTAATATTAAATATGGGTTCGCCAGACTTCCAAATTCTGAAATCTGCCCTCACGACTATTTTTAAAAGGGCCGAAACTAAAGTTAATTGCGGGTCGGATCCTCCGAATTAGAGGGCGTCCCTAGCACGACTCTTAAGGATTCAGGATCTCCTCGATTTCCTCGACTTGGATATCTACATACAAAAGCTCCAAAGACAGATTCCAAGGCCCCAATTTGGAACAGTCCCTGATTAGCCCTGAATTCGGAATTGCCCCGAATAAAGCCCTAAATTGAAATAGTCCTTGATAAGGCCCTAATGTGAAATAATCCCTAATAATAAGGCCCTAACTTGAAATAGTCCCTGATTCGGCCCTAATTTCAGATAGTCCCTAGTCAGGATTAATCAGGCCCTGATTTGAAATAGCCGAATTTAAAATAGTCCCCAATAAGGCCCTGATTTGAAATAATGTCTAATACGACCCTAGATTGAAATGGTCCTCATTGAGGTCCTAATTTGAAATAGTCCCTGAGGGCCCTACTTTGACGGAGTCCCTAATACAGTCCTACTTCAAAATAGTCTCTAATAAGACCTTTACTTGAAAGAATCCTCAATAAGGCCCTATTCTGAAATGGTCGCTGATAAGGCCCTGCTTTGAAATAGTCCCTAACAAGGCCCTAATTCAAGATAGTCCCTTATTAGATTTAATCGAAACTATACGGTTCCGGTTTTAATCAATAGGACCCCATTACTTATATGCCCCCCCCTAATGTTCGGGTCGTACGATAAATACCACCCTAATATCATATACGGGTTGGAGTATATACATCAGGCGAGAGACCACAATTAATATTAGGGGGGTTAGGATTACAGGGTTCAGAGGGATCGCGTATTGAGCCTTCTGGTACTCGCCCACGCGCTTCTCAAAGAAGTTGGTCTTGCCCTGCAGCGAGATCATCTCCATCCAGTCAAAGGGGTTGGTTGCCCCAAAGATCTTGCTGTGACCCAGGGCACTAAGAAGCCGGTCAGCAACGAACTCGATGTACTGCGTCATCAGCTCCTTGTTCATTCCGACGAGGTCGCATGAGAGTGCATCGCAGATGAACTTCCGCTCCACCTCCACTGCTCCACGGATGATGTCGTGCACGATGTCCTCTGGGAGCTTGTTCTGCAGCATCTGGTACAAGAGGCAAGCAAAGTCGGCATGGAGGCCCTCGTCGCGAGAAATCAACTCATTGGAGAAAGTCAGGCCTGGCATTTTTCCTCGCTTCTTCAGCCAGAAGATCGCGCAGAATGATCCGCTGAAAAGCACGCCCTCGACAGCTGCGAAGGCCACCAATCGCTCCGCGAAGGTGCTCTCACGGTTCATCCACTGCAGGGCCCAGTGTGCCTTCTCACGCACAGGAGGCATGGTATGGATGGCATCGAAGAGGCCATCGCGTTCCTTGGGGTCCTTGATGTACTGCTCAATGAGCAGGGAGTAGGTCTCCGAGTGGATGTTCTCCATGGCGATCTGGAAGCCATAGAAGGCGCGGGCTTCCGGAATCTGAATCTCTGAGGAAAACTGCGCGGCCAGGTTCTCCAACACGATTCCGTCTGACGCAGCAAAGAAGGCCAGCACGTGCTTAATGAAGTGCTGCTCTCCCTCATTGAGCTGGACCCAATCCTTGCTGTCCTGTGAGAGGTCAATCTCCTCTGCTGTCCAGAATGAGGCCTCATGCTTCTTGTACATCTCCCAAACCTCTGGATGCTGCAAAGGAAACATGACCCAACGCTGCGGATTCTCCTTGAGCAGCGGGTCCTCCTTCTCTAGTCTGCGGTATTCCTCCGAGACCCGGCTTTGTCGCGGCGCTGGCACTCCCTCGGCGGCTTCCGCGAGGACCGCCTCAAGATCCTCCGGCAGGGAAACTTCGTAGTTCTTGGCCACTCTGCCGCATGGCGCAATCAATGTGTGGTGTGGCAGGCCAGCCACACCATAGCTCTGGGGCGCATCCTCGTCCACAACGGCTGCCACGGCACAGCGATGAAGACCATGCTCCATTGCAAAAGCACGCGCCTCTGCAACGGACCCATCCACGCAAACCAAAACAAACT